TCTACTGGACAGTTATAGTAGGAATATATCTACTGGACAGTTATAGTAGGAATATATCTACTGGTCAGTTATAGTAGGAATATATCTACTGGTCAGTTATAGTAGGAATATATCTACTGGTCAGTTATAGTAGGAATATATCTACTGGTCAGTTATAATATATAAGTATATATATATAGTTATAATATATACTGGTCAGTTATATTATAGTAGGAATAAGGCTACTGGCCTAGTTATAACCACAGGAACTACACAGACCGAATTACGTCGCAAACTAACCACGCAACGAATCATAAAGAATCATAACAGAAACACGGGATTCGCATTTAGAAAATCGATCTGTTATTTGCGCTGCCGTCATCTCGGATTATAACGTATAATGCACAACGCTGACACAAACACGCGCGCGCCGTGTCAGACTGACTACACACACACGCGCGCGCGCGTGCTCACACACAACACGCTCTCGCTACAATTGAACGCAACAAACGCGCGCGCGCGGTCACTATACGCCTATTGCAAAGACACACCGTCGTTACATGTGACATATTACATATCACATGTGTCCACCGGAGCAAACAACCACCGTATAGAATATAACCAGGATTGAAATAACCGGATACAAAGCACCGACACTTCCGTCACGCGGTAACTCCCACCCTTCCTCCACATCCCTGAAGCATCCTCCACTACGCTACTTCCGTATACTTCGTTCCCCTTAGCGACATCGATGTCTTTGCTACTGTCCGAGCATACCCTTGGTGCCACTATTCAATCCATATCGCAAGTAACATTGTTCTCCCTTGTGTGTTTTTACCACACCTATACTTACTGTCCCCCCCCCCCGATTACTTCCCCCATATATCCTGTACATACGTCGCCCCCACCTACTGTCCTCACTCTTTTTCCCTATAGATCCCACATCCGTTTACTGCTTCCAACCCACCTACTCTAGCCCCTACCCACTCTACTATAACGAAAGATCCCCCATGTAGCGACTGCCCTATAAACGACCATTGTCTACGTTCCCTCAACGACTCCCACCCCAGGTCCGCCCCTCTAAATCCGCCCCAATCTCCCCCTTATATATCTACGCCCTCTGCATCTACCCCCACCGACAGTTTTGGCGTGGATCCTCCCTTGATAAATCATAGTACCTTTAGGCCGCGCCCACACTTCGTCCTGTACGTAGCGCGTCACTGTACAAACACATGCTAAGCTCCCGGCATGAAAGATATTCACATCTTGCGCTTCAATATTTACATTCTATAGTTTCGACAATAAATACGCAAGCAGCCACGGCGTGGGCTGATAACCGCTAACAACAAACTTGTTATGTAATGATGATGGAGACGTGGGGCGGCACGTGCGCTCCATCCACACGTACGCGCCATAGCTGCATGCGTGTGTCACGCACTGAAGACAACACACCATCATTCTACCCCAGCACACAGTGTCTCTGGATGGCTCTCCGATCCACACGATTCCCGCAACTATCGTGCTCTCGTTTTCTAGCCGCACAGTGCCTCGCATAAACTGTGTCTTTCAGCCACATGGTGCCTCTCACTTGTGGTCTTGTTGCATAAGACAGCGACATCCAGCATGGGTGACCCTCGTGTCCATTACCTCATCGACACAAATGACGACAGCCCTTAATTACTAACTCTCATCGACATGGTGTCTACTAGCTGCTCGCAGTCTCTCTGCCACGCAGTGTATGTCGGCACATGGTGTCTACTACACTAGCTGCCTGATGTCTGCCGATGTACACCGCCCCACCCGAGTATCCAGACTTCCCGATTGCCTGCAATTCTCCCGAATTTCACGAGGACCATGTTCCACACTATGTGTTTCATGGTAATGGTAACACACACGCACATAGACGCACATCGACAGAAAACGACGCGCGCGCGCGTGCAGAAACATTAGAAGACACGCGGCTATAAGCGATATATTACAATGCTGATGCAATTTCAGCTGCTGTGCGATCTTCACAGTAATGACGAAACAAGCCGATTGTATTATATATATATATATATTATATGCTGTTGGTTGTGCGTGTGTGCGCGACTTGTGTGTGTGTCGGCTGTGTGTGTGTGTGATTGTGGTCTGTGTCGTGTTTGTTGTGTGTGTTGTTGGTGTGTGTGTCGCTGTGTGTGTTGCTTGTGTGTGTGGTATGCCCGTGTGTGTGTGTTGTGTGTGTGTGTGTGTGTGTGTGTGTGTGTGCGTGCGTGCGTGCGTGCGTGCGTGCGTGCGTGTGTGTCACGTAGGCGTGGCCGCGCGTATCTTGCAAGCGTGTACGTATTCCTATCTCTAGAAGCGCCACATCAGCAAGGCAAAGCGGACACTGCATG